AAGGTGGCTATGCGCAAACAGGACTATGATCATCAAAATCTTGCATGGCAGTCGCCCATCCATCCTAGTGTGGTGGTAACATTGTTTGTGCAGCGTATGTAATTGTGACCTATGTGATGAGATAACGCACACACAAACTAAGACGCGTTTATTTACGACAGATTTCGTTCTGGATTCGAATTGACGAAGCCCATCTCGCCCAGATGACGGCGATAGTTGTGTTTAGGCTTGATGGTGGCAGGCAACAGGTTAGGGCCGCCGCGAGATGTCTCCCACATCATCAGCAGCAGGCCGAAGCACTGGCGGAGCCAGTGAGGCGGTGGTGAGGTGGCACGTGCCCCCCCCCCCCCCAATAATCCGATCTAAATCGCACTGCCACCGTGTCGCATATTATTATGTGCCAGGTACTCTATAAGATGATAGGACAATAGTCTGAGTCCATAGTTGGCAATAAGTAACGGCAAAGCAGTTATAAGCGACTCACAGAATTGTGCGCAGTTGTGTCTACAGAGTCCACGACTTCCCTGAAGTCATCAACACCTTCTGCGAGCGCGATGCCGATCACACAACGCGGTTCGAATTCGACCCTCGATCGATGGCTGGAAGGGACAACTCCTTACTTACTAACAACTCCTTACTCACTAACAACTCCTTACTAACAACTCCTTACTTACTAACAACTCCTTACTCACTAACAACTCCTTACTAACAACTCCTTACTCACTAACAACTCCTTACTTACTAACAACTCCTTACTCACTAACAACTCCTTACTTACTAACAACTCTCTTCCTAACAACTCCTTACTAACTAACAACTCCTTACTAACAACTCCTTACTTGCTAACAACTCTCTTACTAACAACTCCTTACTTACTAACAACTCCTTACTCACTAACAACTCCTTACTTACTAACAACTCCATACTCACTAACAACTCCTTCCTAACAACTCCTTACTTACTAACAACTCCTTACTCACTAACAACTCCTTACTAACAACTCTCTTCCTAAATTTTGATTTAAAGCTTTCGTGACTGCAGTAATTCATATTCTTAGTTCTTTCGGTAAAGTCACGTTGAAGGGAAACAATAAAATAATAAAATATATATAAAACAATACAAATTCTCACGACGTTTCGACAATAACACAAACGGTCGTCTTCAGGTGTGAAGACGACCGTTTATTGTTTTATATATATTATTATTACTTTATTATTTTGTTGTTTCCCTTCAACGTGACTTTACCGAAAGAACTAAGAATATGAATATAACTCTCTTCCTAACAACTCCTTACTAACAACAACTCCTTACTAACAACAACTCCTTACTAACAACTCCTTACTTACTAACAACTCCTTACTTACTAACAACTCCTTACTTACTAACAACTCCTCTATCATTTTTCATTGCTGGAGGGGTTGCCCCCCCCCCCCCCCACCTGAAAATCCTGGCTCCTCCATTGGCGCCGAAGCACACATTTCCTTCATACATTGGGAATTAAAAGCGAGCACACGGTTGGTGCGAATGTTAAGTAGCCCCAACCTGCAAGGGAGGAGGAAATAGCAGAAAACTTACACGAACTCTCTCCCGAAGCCCTCTTGTCGTGGCCAGCAGCAAGAACTCGCCATCGGCATTCATCTCCTAATAAACACATTACTGCCATCACTCGCAAGAATATAATTAGATCTGGCAAGTAATTCTCTCTGGAGTCACGCGTCCGCAATTGCGCTTTGTTTCCTCGATATGTGGGGTGTTGATAAGAGCTATGGGGAGGTAAGCGATTATATTATTACACATCGTTACGCGATGAGATTTCGTTGAATTTACGATGCCGGGCGACTGATCATGGGGAGAGGGATGGGAAATTATGAAACGGCGGAGTCCGCGGGTGATCTGGCCTCGTGATCCGGGATGGTGTTAGGATCGGTGTGGCTGTATTTCATGTTGGTTTTAATACATTTTAATGATGGAATCAGAGCCTGCTGACCTCACTGCTCGGGCACTGTTAAGGTTCAACCCTGCTTATTTATATTCATAAATCAGTGATTTGGTCATTGGCGCATGAGCATTACGTGATCTTGAAGTTGCCACGTAGCACACTTTTCGAGATGTATATTTTATTATTATTATGTCCGATTTGGCAACATGAATTACTTAGGTCATTTACGATCAATGTTTTCATTATTGTGCTCGATGATACAGTCCATGGCGCCGTGGGTCTGTGAGCCAGAGTAGAAATTGCCAACATCAGGTGGCAAAACTTCAGGGCTACAAGTCTACTTGTATTACCATTAGATGTGAATTTGCTGGCACATTGTCAATGGTTATTACGGCGATGTCATTATATTATATTCTGCCGTATGATGGCAACATGCAGTCTTATGTTCAGGCGCTAAATGCCATGGCGAGCCAAGAGGGTTTGAGGAGATTTCGTGTCGTTCTCATTGTCCTCCTCTGTTGAATGAATGCAAGGCCACAGTGGTTTACTAAACGGTTTAACACGTAGTAGGCTCTCGCGATCAATATCATCCATAATATTGTTTTTTTCTGGGTTGGATCGTGTAAATATATAGGTAAATGTGTCATTAAACCCACCACCACCCGACACAGCCAACTAGTAAAGGCTTATTCTTAGTTTTTTCGGTAAAGTCACGTGACTTTACCGAAAAAACTAAGAATATGAATTACTGCAGTCACGAAAGCTTTAAATCAAAATTTAGTAAAGGCTTGTCACGTAAACAGAACGTGCCAATTCGTCACTAGTACAGCACACCGGTGTGTTGGAGAACCAAGCCTCGACATTTTCAATCTGAGCACGACGTTTGGTCGTACCTTACTAATCAGCTGTGTCGGATGGTGGCGGGTTTAACGACACATATATTTACGCGATCTAACCCTCCCCCCCCCCCCCATAAAAAAAACCTGTATTATGTTTTACTATTTGATCTACCGTTCGGGTTTGGTGGCCACAGTCTCATCTACGGATTGATATTTTATTGATATCGACTCGCGGTGGCTAACCTATGGTTCCGTGGGCCAGACACACACGTCCCACGACTTCATTTCAAACGGCCACGCGACTGAAGCCACGCCACTCTCAAATATGAAAGGCCCACAGCGCTGACATTAGCCTCTTAGCAGCACTCGTCGGAGGCCGAGAAGGGGGATAATTTGTTTTCAGCCGGCTAAATTGTGCACATTTTTAGCGCGTGCAGGCACTCCGCGTCCCTGCAGATCATTCAAATTATTTGGTGATGCCTCTGCATTGGCAGCAGTGCACGCACGAGTAAAACAAACAAACCAAACACATTCGTCAATAATAGCACTGTGGTCTTCAAAGTAAAAAAAACGTAATAGGCGACGTTTCGGGCAATGGATTTTTAATACCACATAGCTTAAATACATCATTTATGTCACTAATTTTTTCCTTTTAAGGCCACAGTATTATTACAGTGACTCCTCTACTTACGAACATTCGACTTATGAACTTTTAGAGATACGAACAAACCTGTCCGTATGTCCAGTTGCCTGTTCGGGCCGAGAGTCGTGAGTTCAATCGCCGCGCAATAGATGGCGGTGGTGGCATCGACATCTACAGGAATTTTTACAACTTTTAAAGCCATTCCCCGTGTTTAGTGTACATGTCGTACAACAAGTTTGGAATCGACGGGAGTGAAGTTGGACTTATGAACAAATCGACTTACGAACAGACCTCTGGAATAGTTTTTTTTATTAGATCGCGTAAATATATAAATGTGTCGTTAAAACCCGCCACCACCCGACACAGCCAACTAGTAAGGGTTGTCACGTACACAGAACGTGGCCAATTCGTCACTAGTACAGCACATCGATGTGTGTTTGAGAGCAAATCCACTTCAACATTTACACTCCGAGTTCGACGTTTCGCGAGTAATTGCAACCGGCATCATCAGGCGGACAGCAACCAGATTTGTGGAGAAATCCTCCCGTTTCGTTCCTTAAATATAGGGGGAAGGTGTGATGACGTCACTTGTGAGCCCTTCACGTGTGAATGAATGAATATCAATAACAATGGGCATTGTCCATTGACAATCGTGTTATTAATATGGTAATGAACGTACATTGTTGATTACCACTTTGTTGATGACACTGCACATCATGCACGGACATTGTTCATGTACCTCCTGTCGTCTGTGTGCACTAAAATAGCAGTAACTGTTCTTGCCTAAGGGGCCGTCCATAAATGACGTCACGCGATTTTGGACGATTTGTCACCCCCCCCCCCCACCCCTCGTCACACGGCGTCACACAAAGTCAGACCCCCCTCAAATATGACGTCACAAAGCTCTGCCCCCCCTCCCCCACAAAAAATATATAAAACATGCTTCAGATCGCTTTAAACTATTGTCATTGTAGTGCGTATTTAATGTGGCGCTGCACTCTGATGTTGTAGGAGTGTTGTTATAACAATTAGTGTTGTTTATTAGTGTTGTTACAACAATTCTATATTTATTTAAAGTTGTGCATTTTGATGTGACGTCACATTTCTCAAACCTTTCGTCACACATCGTCACAAATGTCTGACCCCCCCCCCCCCCCCCAGGTGCGTGACGTCATTTCTGGATGGCCACCTAATCCCCATTGACGTGTGGTGACCTGTATGGCATACATTAAGCAATATATTAACCACCCAACAAAACCCTACAATATTGAACAACTCTTTCGCGTGAACATCAAACAGCGCCGACCTCTGCATCAGCAGCAGCAAGCAACGCGTGGAATCGCGACGAGAGGAATCGCGACGGGAGGGGGGGAGTAAAATCGCCGTCGCTGCGGATCGATCCGATGGGGTGTGACCCCCCCCCCTCACACCGAGCCCGCCTTGGCCAGGTGGTGGGGAAGGGGGTAAAATCGTGGCACCGGAATCGCCGTCGCTGCGGATCGATCCGCGGGGTATGACACCACCCCCCCCCCCACTTAGCTCGCCTTGGTCAGGTGTTAGTGGGTGGGGGGAGGGAATCGTGACACCGGAATCGCCGTCGCTGCGGATCGATCCGCGGGGTGTCTTCCCCTTCCCCCCCGCTCTTTTGGCGAGTGAGCGTGAAGCGATGGCGGCGCTGCGAGTGCTGGAGCTGCTCTTCGTCTTCTACTTCGCGTCTCACATCCCCATCACGCTGCTCTTCGACTCGCAGGCGCTGCTGCCCAAGGGCTCGTTGCCGCCGCTGGTGAGAGACTCGACACAGACGGAGGGAGGGAGGAGAGGCAGAGGGTGCAGATGCAGCACTTGTCGTAGTAAATTACAAATATTACATAGGCGTAGAGAGAGAGAGGGCAGGGGTAAGGAGAGCAGAGCGGGAAATCTTTTGTTAAATCTTTCATTTAAAAAGGAGGGGGGGGGGTTACATAAAGCGAAGCATTAAAACAACTAAATGATGAATGAAGCGAAGTGCCGACTACACCGGAGAGAGACAGAGAGGGGGAGACAGAGAGGGAGACAGAGAGAGGGAGGGAGACAGAGAGAGGGAGACAGAGAGACAGAGAGAGGGAGAGGGAGACGGAGAGAGGGAGACGGAGAGAGGGAGACGGAGAGAGGGAGACGGAGAGACAGAGAGAGGGAGACAGAGAGAGAGACAGAGAGAGAGACAGAGAGACGGAGACAGAGAGACGGAGACAGAGAGAGAGACAGAGAGAGAGACAGAGAGACGGAGACAGAGAGACGGAGACAGAGAGAGAGACAGAGAGAGAGACAGAGAGACGGAGACAGAGAGACGGAGACAGAGAGAGAGGGAGACAGAGAGACAGAGAGAGGGAGACAAGAGAGAGAGAGACAGAGAGAGAGAGGGAGACAGAGGGAGACAGAGAGAGGGAGACAGAGAGACAGCGACAGAGAGACAGCGAGGTACCTGAGCTGCTGAGTCCCACCTGGGCGTCTTCGTGGTCAGACATGGACGACTCCTCGCCAGGCGAATCGTCGGCCATGCGGGGCATCGTCATCCCATAGTCACCCTTATCCCATATGCATCGTCATCCCATAGTCACCGTCATCCCATAGTCACCGTCATCCCATAGTCACCGTCATCCCATAGTCACCCTTATCCCATAGTCACCCTTATCCCATATGCATCGTCATCCCATATGCATCGTCATCCCATAGTCACCGTCATCCCATAGGCACCCTCATCCCATATGCATCGTCATCCCATAAGCATCGTCATCCCATAGTCACCGTCATCCCATATGCATCGTCATCCCATATGCATCGTCATCCCATAGACACCATCCCATAGGCATCGTCATCCCATAGACACCGTCATCCCATAGTCACCGTAATCCCATAGACAACGTCATCCCATATGCATCGTCATCCCATAGTCACCGTCATCCCATAGACATCGTCATCCCATAGACAACGTCATCCCATAGACAACGTCATCCCATATGCATCGTCATCCCATATGCATCTTCATCCCATAGACAACGTCATCCCATAGATATCGTCATCCCATAGGCATCGTCATCCCATATGCATCTTCATCCCATAGACAACGTCATCCCATATGCATCTTCATCCCATAGACACCGTCATCCCATATGCATCTTCATCCCATAGACAACGTCATCCCATAGACAACGTCATCCCATAGTCACCGTCATCCCATAGGCATCGTCATCCCATAGACAACGTCATCCCATAGACATCGTCATCCCATAGACAACGTCATCCCATAGACAACGTCATCCCATAGACAACGTCATCCCATAGGCATCGTCATCCGAGGACATCGTCATCCGAGGACATCGTCATCTGAGGACATCGTCATCCGAGGACATCGTCATCCGCGGACACCGTCATCCGCGGACACCGTCATCTGAGGACACCGTCATCTGAGGACACCGTCATGCATTTACATCGTCACCCACAGACACGAGAGGCAGCCGTGCAACAGTGAGGGAATCGAACCGAAAACCGGAGTGTGGAACCGGTTTTAACCGGTTCCCTTGACCGTGGTCCCCGAGCGCGCGCCAAACCGAACCCAAAACTTTTTGGTATTTTTCCGAATGACCCCCCCCCACCTCTTCACACCCCCACCTCTTCACACCCCCCCACATCTTCACACCCCCTCCCCTCTTCACACCCCCCCCTCTTCACCCCCCCTCCCCTATTCACACCCCCCCTCTTCACACCCCCTCCCCTCTTCACACCCCCTCCCCTCTTCACACCCCCTCCCCTCTTCACACCCCCTCCCATCCCTCCCTCCCATCCGCCCCCTCTTCACACCCCTCCCATCCCCCCCCCTCTTCACCCCCCTCCCATCCCCCCCTCTTCACCCCCCTCCCATCCCCCCCTCTTCACCCCCCTCCCATCCCCCCCCCTTCACCCCCCTCCCATCCCCCCCTCTTCACCCCCCTCCCATCCCCCCCCTCTTCACCCCCAATCCCCCATCCCCTATCCCCCCCTCCACCACCCATCCCCCTTCTATCCACCCCTCCACCCCCCACCTTATAAAAAAGGATGCGTTTAGCGTTTCAAAACCGGTTCAAATTTTTTTGAAATGCGTGCGAATCTTGGACCGTGTAAAGTGAAAAATAAACAAACCCGTTTTCAAGACTGCAAGCTCCCCCCCCCCAAGCCAACGCAGCGTGACCCTGGCACCGTGAGATCGCGTGGGGGCTCTCGGGGTCGCTCGGGATGAAACCGCCCGTGGCACCAGAGATAACAACCCCGTGATCTTATACAGTGAGGGAAAAAAGTATTTGATCACCTGCTGATTTTGTACGTTTGCCCACTGACAAATGATCAGTCTGTAATTTTAATGGTAGGTTTATTTGAACAGTGAGAGACAGAATAACAACAACAAAAAACAGAAAAACGCGTGTCAAAAATGTTAGAAATTGATTTGCATTTTAACGAGGGAAATAAGTATTTGACCCCTCTGCAAAACATGACTTAGTACATGATGGCAAAACCCTTGTTGGCAATCACAGAGGTCAGACGTTTCTTGTAGTTGGCCACCAGGTTTGCACACATCTCAGGAGGGATTTTGTCCCACTCGTTGCAGATCTTCTCCAAGTCATTAAGGTTTTGAAGCTGACGTTTGGCAACTCAAACCTTCAGCTCCCTCCACATATTTTCTATGGGATTAAGGTCTGGAGACTGGCTAGGCCACTCCAGGACCTTAATGTGCTTCTTCTTGAGCCACTCCTTTGTTGCCTTGGCCGTGTGTTTTGGGTCATTGTCATGCTGGAATACCCATCCACGACCCATTTTCAATGCCCTGGCTGAGGGAAGGAGGTTCTCACCCAAGATTTGTCGGTACATGGCCCCGTCCATTGTCCCTTTGATGCGGTGAAGTTGTCCTGTCCCCTTATCAGAAAAACTCCCCCAAAGCATAATGTTTCAACCTCCATGTTTGACGGTGGGGATGGTGTTCTTGGGGTCTTAGGCAGTATTCCTCCTCTTCCAAACACGGCGAGTTGAGTTGATGCCAAAGAGCTCCATTTTGGTCTCATCTGACCCCACAGCACTTTCACCCAGTTGTCCTCTGAATCATTTAGATGTTCATTGGCAAACTTCAGACGGGCATGTATATGTGCTTTCTTAAGCAGGGGGACCTTGTGGGCACTGCAAGATTTAAGTCCTTCACGGCGTAGTGTGTTACCAATTGTTTTATTGGTGACTATGGTCCCAGCTGCCTTGAGATCATTGACAAGATCCTCCCGTGTAGTTCTGGGCTGAATCCTCACCGTTCTCATGATCATTGCAACTCCACGAGGTGAGATCTTGCATGGAGCCCCAGGCCGAGGGAGATTGACAGTTCTTTTGTGTTTCTTCCATTTGCGAATAATCGCACCAACTGTTGTCACGTTCTCACCAAGCTGTTTGGCAATGGTCTTGTAGCCCATTCCAGCCTTGTGTAGGTCGGCAATCTTGTCCCTGACATCCTTGGAGAGCTCTTTGGTCTTGGCCATGGTGGAGAGTTTGGAATCTGATTGATTGCTTCTGTGGACAGGTGTCTTTTATATAGGTAACAAGCTGAGATTAGGAGCACTCCCTTTAAGAGTGTGCTCCTAATCTCAGCTCGTTACCTGTATAAAAGACACCTGGGAGCCAGAAATCTTTCTGATTGAAAGGGGGTCAAATACTTATTTCCCTCATCAAAATGCACATCAATTTATAACATTTTTGACATGCGTTTTTCTGGATTTTTTTTGTTGTTATTCTGTCTCTCACTGTTCAAATAAACCTACCATTAAAATTATAGACTGATCATTTCTTTGTCAGTGGGCAAACGTACAAAATCACCAGGGGATCAAATACTTTTTTCCCTCACTGTATCTCTCTGTCTCTCTCTCTGTCTTTCTCGTCTCTCTCTGTCTTTCTCGTCTCTCTCTGTCTTTCTCGTCTCTGTCCGTCTCTCTCTGTCCATCTCTCTGTCTTTCTCGTCTCTCTCCGTCTGTCCATCTTTCTCTCTGTCTCTCTCGTCTCTCTATGTCCATCTCTCTCTCTGTCTCTCTCGTCTCGGGGTGAGCATCTACATCATTTGTAGGAAAGGTTTCAGTTTTGTTGCCAGAAAAAAGGGGGAAAACCTATTATTACATTTTGGTATTGGCAAAGGAGGTCTAATGATGTAGATGCTCACCCCGAGCCCTCATTACTTTGATAGTGCATTGTCTTTGAGCTGTACGCCTTTTGGCGTCATCTGGTCGAGCACCAATTGAGACGAGGCTCAAAAGAAAGCTGTCCCTTGGTGTGGACCAATAAGTTTCAAGGACAATGCATATATTATCATTGTTTTTTGTTTGCATTTTGACTGCAGGTATTATGGTTAATGCAGACATGAATCCTTGTAAAAAGGTTTAAGTTTTGTTGCCAGAAATAAAGGGGAAAAACCTTATTATTACATTTTGGTACTGGCAAAGGAGGTCTAATGATGTAGATGCTCACCCCGAGCCCTCATTACTTTGATAGTGCATTGTCTTTGAGCTGTGTGACGCCTTCTGGCGTCATGTGGTCGAGCACCAACTGGGTCGAGGCTCAAAAGAAAGCCGTCCCTTGGTGTGGACCAATCAGTTTCAAGGACAATGCATATATTATCATAGTATGTTTTTTGTTTGCATTTTGACTGCAGGTATTGTGGTTAATGCAGACATGAATCCTCGTAAAAAGGTTTCCGTTTTGTTGCCAGAGTTTTGGAACGTGCCCAAATCGCCAGCGTGGCAGATTTTACGCATGCCGTATGGTGTGTACTCAACAGTCTCATTTGCAAAAGTGACTGAACTAGGGCATTACTCTGCCAGTAGGTATCAGTGATTGTTATGCATCATCTCAATTGAGTAATTTGTGGGCCTTTGTGGACCCTGACGCCGGCACACCGTGGCCGACCCTTTTGCGAACGACGTCAGGGGATCTTTGAACGTCCACTGTGAAGCGGGCTGCTCGTAGTCTTAATCATAGCGGCCGCTGGAATCGAACCGTGAACCTCTGCAACAAGAGGCGGGCGGACATGCCACACCTGTGGCCATGACTAACGTTTACGATGGCAAGCGGTATCGGAACCTATGCTGAGCTTCCCCTCGGTCAGTGACCAGCGAACAATAGCAAGAAGAGGCATTTTTTTCAAATTTGGTTAAAAAAAAAGACTCATTTAAAGATCCGCAATATGTTTGGTGAACACGAGAGACAGTGGTTCCTTGAAAAATAACATCATGAAGCAGTCCTTAAAGAGCTGCATGAAGCCCTGGAGCCGCAGGATGCCGACCCCTGCCCATGGTAAACTGAACTCCCATGGTAAACTGGACTCCCATGGTAAACTGACTTTCAATGTTAAACTGGACTCCCATGGTAAACTGGACTCCCATGGTAAACTGACTTTCAATGTTAAACTGGACTCCCATGGTAAACTGGACTCCCATGGTAAACTGACCTTCAATGTTAAACTGGACTCCCATGGTAAACTGGACTCCCATGGTAAACTGACCTTCAATGTTAAAATGAACTCCCATGGTAAACTGGACTCCCATGGTAAACTGACCTTCAATGTTAAACTGGACTCCCATGGTAAACCGACCTTCAATGTTAAACTGGACTCCCATGGTAAACTGGACTCCCATGGTAAACCGACCTTCAATGTTAAACTGGACTCCCATGGTAAACCGACCTTCAATGTTAAACTGGACTCCCATGGTAAACTGGACTCCCATGGTAAACTGGACTCCCATGGTAAACTGACCTTCAATGTTAAACTGGACTCCCATGGTAAACTGGACTCCCACGGTAAACTGGACTCCCACGGTAAACTGGACTCCCATGGTAAACTGACCTTCAATGTTAAACTGGACTCCCATGGTCAGGGGTCGGCAACCAAAATAACAAGTAGAGCCTTTTTTTTATTCAGTCAAAAAAAACCTCAATATTTGAAGAGCCGCAATGCGGTTCTTTAAAGAGCCAAATGCGTCTGCGGAGCCGCAGGTTACCGACCCCTGCCCTAGTTTGACTCGGCCTAATATTAGTGACTTATGAACAGCAGAACTGAAGCGAGAAAACCATACAGTCCTGATACAGACCATCCACTGGTGTGCCCTACTGGTCTTGCGAGGTTGCTCGGGATTAGCACTTGCCCCAACAGTCTACGCGGTTAAAAAGGGTTCTTTAAAATTTTATTTTGTTCGGTGGTTGCACGTCTGTCTGATTTTCAGCTGAGCGATCCAATGAAGTGGTATATTCAGAAATTCAAGGACTCCCTCATGGCCAATCCACCGACTTGGTTCTACGCCTTCATCTACTCCGAGGTCTTCCTGCAGCTGCCCTTCTTTCCCATTGCCACTTATGCCTTCTACAAGGGTGAGCGAACACACAACATTGTCCATCCACATGATTGTAAACTACACTCAAATATTTTTTTTCATTTTGCCAGGTAAGGCCCACTTAGCTATATAGCTCCTTTTCCAGAAGTGACCCGGCCACAAACGATAGCCTGACGAAATGGCTCATTGTGGGGACATTTATGATTATAAATGTGGAGGGAAAAATCCACGCGACCAGGGGAGGGAAACATGCAAACTCCAAATACACAGCGGGCATCAGGGGTCAGAATCGAACCCACAGCCTCCTGTATACCAGGCGAGGTAGTTAACATCTCGCCACTGTGGCATCCTTTTTCTTAGTCTATGTCCCAGAACAGAACATTGGTAGCATCTGAAGTGGAATATCATCATGTATTACTGATCGTTTTTTATTTGGTTAGTATTCGTGAATTAATGTTTTTCATGAATATCACCCATGCATATATTTGACAAGTATACTTTGCTTTAAAAAAAAATGCCAATAGGGTCTATGAAGTGGAATTTTGCATCCATAACACAGTTTTAAACATTTTTTTTCAAGAAAGAAAACAGGCACTCTAACCACTTAATGAGCTGTGAAGTTGCTATCATATGATAATAACTCCACATTCTGTGGTTGTAAATATTCAATTTAAACAAAAGAGCCCAACTCATAGCATTTTCTGGAGTAAAATTTCAAGGCCATACAAAAACAAGGAATAAAAATCATGCTTATGCGGGGATTATGTAATGCTTTCCAAAATGAATTTGTCTTGGAAGTATTTAATCATTTATTTAGCAGCACAGAAGCCAAAGGATTAGTGGTCCGATCACAATGCGTAATGAATACTTTTAAATCGTACTTTTTGCATGGTTTACATCTTCAAGTTTTGGGCAACCCTGATCAATTTGGCTAGTTTTCTTGAGGGTAGGTCTCTAGTTACAACACAACGGTATACTCAAGTTTTGTTCACATTGGAACATTGTTACAAGAGTTACCGTGAGCCAGTGCAACGGGACAGATGGAGAGCCAGACAAAGAAAGGCTAATGCATGTGTTCTTAGTGTTGAGTGCAATTAACAATGCACAACGATGCGCGCCGAAGTGGCGCTCATGTCCTGTTCATAGCCCTTAAGCAGCATAAACAAATGTAAATCTATATCGTTTGTTTGCAAGCGAATAGAAGGCGTTGCGACCACACTTGTGCGCGTGCTGTGCTGTGCCGGTGTTCTCCCTCCAGGCGGCCGCCGCTGGATCCGCATCCCGGCCATCATCTACGCGAGCCACGTTACCACCTCGCTCCTGCCCATCCTCTCGCACGTGCTTCTACACGATTTCACGGTGCCCCCGGGCACCAAGGGCGTTGCGGGCCCCAGCACCATGCACGAGCGCCTCTCCCTGGTTGCCGTGTATCTGCCCTACCTGCTCATCCCACTGCTGATCATCGCCACCATGTGCCTGAGCAGCACCTACGCCGGCCCACCCGCCTCCATCGCCTTATCCGCCAAACAAAAGAAGAAGTGATTTGGCTCGATGTGATGCGTGCGGACAGCGCAAAGAAAAAATCCTTTAAAGCTCCTTGGCCCCCCGTTTTGTAATGTAACCCGCTAGCCCAATTGCACGTTGAAATTGTTTTCATGTAAGCATAAAATGAACTGTGGGATAGCGCCATGGTGCAATGGATGGCTCGCTGCATTTGCAATGCAGAAGTCGCCGGTACAATCTCCCAGTGCGGCAGTTTAAATAATGAGCAAGTTTCTTAAATCGTCACCCCACCTTGGTTCACTCAGAAATATAAATGGATACACCACAGTCGATGGGGGGGTCGCGTATGAATTGAGTAAAGTGTCGATACTCCCACCTCTTCCAAGACGTATATCTAGCGTGGAAGAGTTTGCAAATGTACCCTCTCAGTGGTTTCTCTAAAGCGCCTATGAGGGGAGGCCCTTCCGCCAGCAAGCAATTGCAGGATTGCACCTTTACCTTGTTCGTGAACAATATGTACCCGGTGGTGAACATGAACACGTCGTATAAGCCAACATGTAGTCGGCGAGTGTAAGGCACGGGCATAGATCCATTACCTCTCTATGCAGCAATGTGCTAGTCATTACCACCATCAACATGCTGATTTGTCCAAAACTCAATACCAATAAATGTTGGCTCAACTACACCCAGTAAATGTCTCAACTTGGGGCTGGGTACAGTTGGAGGCAATGTTAGAAATCGCCAAATTGTCGGAAAAAAAATAAATTCCAAGCCCCGGTCGGTCGTGTAACTCGTCCTTCGCACATAGAGGTGTCCGCTCCACCAAGGAGGTGCATGAGGAGCACTCCACATGGTGGTGATAGAGGTAAAACTGTCTCTGCCGTGGATTTGCATGCTCCAACTTGGAATGGCGCGCATCTTTCGCCAATTGGCACATTGCTTACATTGAAACATTTTCAATTGTGTGATCTGGATAGTTATGAATGTTCCGTCACGGAGAGCGGTGGTGGTGACATCTAGAATATACAAGCTTTTACAAAGTAAAAAAAAAGGACTTGGTAAATTCGAGTATATGTGCAGATGGTGTACTCTCACATTTTAGCTGGAGGACAGAATTCTAGACAATACGAGAATGCAACTGCATAATAGAGGTTTTTTTTTTGTGGGTTTGATCGCGTAAATATATCAATGTGTCGTTAAAACCCGCCACCACCCGACACAGCCAACTAGTAAGGGTTGTCACGGTAACAGAACGTGGCAATTGTGTTGGAGAGCCAAGCCACAACATTTACAATCTTGAGTACGACGTTTCGCCAGTAATTACAACTCGCTTCATCAGGCGACAACCAGATTTGTGGAGAAGTCCACCTGTTTAGTTCCTTATATAGAGGCGTAGATGTGGCTACCACAATTGATGGTAAAAATGTGGACAAATGATTAAATCGAATCGCAATGTCGCGTCACTGTTGATTGACCACGCCTGAGGGGAGGCTTGCCCCCTCTTTTCTCTCCACCTGAAGAAGACCGCTTGTGTTGCGATCGAAACGTCGTGGGCTTTTTGATTTTTGTTTTCTATCCACGTGACTTTACCGAAAGAATCAAGAATATGGGGGGGGAGGTGGTTCAATGTCTCTTCTTGTTGTTGTAGGATACCTTTATGTTGAGCCATTTGCAAAATAAGCATTACCGCATTAATGTTGGTTTGGAATCTTTGTAAACATCAAGCTTCGGGAACATGCTATGGATGCTTTTCCTACAAAGTAATGTGGGCCCACTGATATAATTTCCTTTTTGTGATTATTTTTCATGTGATTAATTTAATTTCCTTATAATTGCGAATTTTCTTTATAAAAATAAAAAAATGTGATTGAGCAGATTTAAAAGTGTGTTATGCCAATGTTCACATGACCATTACATCTGAATTCGTGAAACGTAAGAGCTGGGCTATCTGAATTAGTAATCTATTACTGATTTTCAGTTCAATTGCTCAACTAATCGGATAAAAAAGAATAGTTGCGAGGGAAAACTCTCAACTATGTTTCCAAGTTACTTGAGAAACGTAACTACAAGGGGTATTTTTCACGAGATCGTTTAAAAAATAGTCCAAGCTCTAATTAAAGTCTGCAAACGAATACACGTGCTAACAGTGGCTGGGTATTGAGGTGGAGTTAAGTTCCCTGAGCACTTGAGCAGAAATGGCAAGTGGTTTATTGGAAGATACATTTTAAGGCGCTTAGGGAAGCCAATATTGATATTTTTAAACGAACTCGGCTTGCTGGCCTGCGACCATGGCAGGCCAGCAAGCTGTGGAGGTTTATAAATCTTCACGATCCACGCATCGTGCGCACAAGTACTGGGATGAAGACGTGTTCCACCACGCCCCGACGCCCGTAGTGCATAACGCGTCCGTTCATTCACGGCAAGCATGGTAAAAATTAATATGACTACGAAGATGTGCGCCTATGCCCAAATAACGCACGCATGTGGCCACATCGCCAGAAGGCAAGCAAGAGCTGAGCCTGGAAATTGCTTGCTTGATACACAGCAGGTGTTATAGGCGGCGGGGGACTATGTGGTGGGCAACAGAGGGCAGTGTGGCAAATACATTCCGCTGTCCTTCACTTTAACGTCTGCTGTTCTTTCTCGGCCTCGCTCAGCCACACCGATAAGCACGGTGAAGTATGGTTAAATAACGACGCGGGGGAGGCCCTCGTCCAGCAGTGGATTGACATACACAAAATGTATAAATAATGTGAATAACAGTCCGGTGGTTGTGGAATGTACGGCCGTTTTAGAGCTACACCGGGGTGTACAATTGTAAACCAATACCGAACCACCTCAAGGTGGCTGCGACAAGCCTTGATGTCAACACCTCCGATTCGCACGGTCGGGCTACGTACGGTGCGAAAGAAGTTCAGCGCAGGTACAAACGTGCATACATCACGTTTAATGTTCCCATTGGTATCAGCAGAGGGCACGAAACGTCCATGAAAGGAAAGCTACGCCGGATATCTCGGGAGGCAATTTGGGCTACAAAGTTACCACTCGTCCTGGCTTCCACTAAGATCGCCCTCCCAAGTAGCCATCCTAGAAAAATCTGCGAAGTCTACCCAGAGACATTAAAAGTGACGGATTGTATTTCGTTGTGCAGTAACGCACGACTCAAGACAATGCGTGTACACGTATCTCCCCCCCCCCTCTTCTCCCTTAACGGTAAGTTATTCTACTTTTCATGACACGTCCTGGTGTTTATTTTTGTACCGCAGAGGTTGAATGGCCGTGTCCAAGACTAAGGCAATATACCACTGAGAATATGGGTTCGTTTTTTGTATGTTTCAGCCGTCCACGATGAAGCCGAATTCTGAAATCGAATTAGTTGATGGCCCGCCAAAGTTCGATCACCAAAGACTGGACTGAAGAAAAACCCCATCATGAAATTAAGGGTTCAACTAAATGTGCCTTACATCAAATCGCCACTGGTGGCCGGAAAACGAATTCTGGTAGCTGGGCCCAGTACATGGTGCGCTAATCGTTGCGCCACCACTCCATTTGTAAATGCACCTTGAAATTTTACTTAAATACAGGCATGACGGAATATAACTGGTTCATCCAGTTCACGATTATCTTTAAATAAATTTCGATTTAAAGCTTTCGTGACTGCAGGGATTCATCTTCTTGGTTCTTTCGGTAAAGTTACCACATAGAATGGAAACTCCTTTGTCAAGGCGCTCTGCTCCTCCCACGCAGCTTAAAAGACGCTGCCAAGCTTAGCAGTGTTCATTGAAGAGCTGTCGTCCCGACAGTTCTGTTCCTTCCCCTGAAGAAGGCTACTTGTGTTGTGGCCAAAACGTTGTGAGAATGTTATTTTATTGTTTTATTTTATTTCCATTCTACGTGGTGACTTTACCGAAAGAACCAAGATATCTTTAAATAATGAACCATGCTAAAGTTGTGAAATGTGATTAAAATAGTTTATTTTTTTACGCACAAAAAAACATGCTTGTAGATTGTAATATTGTAAACAAGTCACAAAAATATGTAAGCAATATCAAAGGCAATAAAGCTAAATTACAGTTACCTGGATTCTCAGAGCTTTTTAAGAGTTCCACTTCAACCGAAATGTTTTCATTTGTTCAATCCACCCATTACCAACCATTCACACCCCGTTCCAGCTGAACAACACAATGTCTGGAATTGGCAAGGAAATATTCTGTGAATTATACCGTACATTGTTGACAAAAAATGTATTTCTAAGCCAAACACTGACAGTCCAGGCGTATAATATAATATAGCATAACAGCTCTTTCCGATATGTGAATATCGATGAGAAATACTGTCATTTTACTTCACTTGTACCACAGCAAGCCAGGGTGGCCTTGACATTCAAGCGTTAGGATGAATGCAACACCGTTACCACCGTGTCTATGCATTAGTCCCTCTCTTTCTAGTTGGACCTTTTTGTTACACGGCTGTCTGCAGTTGGTCCATTAACATTGAAGGTGTTTACGTGTATGAAACGTACGTTTAAATAGAACACCGAAAAGACTTGCCCGTGCGGAAAGATGGACCGCACCTTAGCGAAGGAAGAGACGCTGTTTCATGGGCCGCAGAATCACTCCGTTTATAGCCACTTGTTTTAACACATCGCATTCAGACTGTTGAATAACAAAAAGGATTTTGCTCGTGCACATTCTAAAACATTGAGACTTTCAAATCGTAAATCGATCAAACAAGTCACGCATTAATGTATCTCTTCCTGTTTGGAGAGTATATATTTATATTCGTGAGCTAGCTGTATCATGACTTGTTTGAAAAATAACTATTCCAGGCCATAAATTAACCTTTAGAAATGTACATTATTTTTAGCAAGTCACGATCTTTTATGAAGTCATCGCCATTTAACTGCTAAAATACATGTGTGTCTTTCAAGAAATTGTTTTAAATTAAAAAGGAAAGGAGAAATATAAACAGGTTTTGATTGGTCCAATGCAAAGCAAGCAGTGGGTGGTCACATCTCAAGATAACTTTAAACCAGATACGTTTCTGCAGCAACATACACAAATAAGTTGCAGGTTTTAATCACTGAAATGTCATTTAACAGGATAATAGGATAGCTTTCATTTATGCATAAATACAATAATAAAAATACAGTACATTAAATATTTTTTTTATAACTGGAATGTAGGTAACTCGAGTTCTAATGTATATTAATTATTGAATGTTCCAATCAAGCTCAGATGCTGATATAATGTGCTGCATGGACACCATCAAACACACTGCATCCTGTCTGCTTAAAGAGGCTGTCCACAAGAGGGCACCACTGTGCGCGGGTGTCATGAAAGATGTGGACAATGAAGTCATTCTAAAATATTTCATAATCAATTATAAAGTGATTAATAAAATGGTGAAATTAAGAACAAGCATGCTGTTTCAGATGCTTTTGACACATAGGCTTTTGTGACCCATATTCATAATAAAGGGTTTTTTTCTCCCCAACAAGCATTAATAAAGGTACAATATATAAAATCGGTGTGTGATCTGCTTCAGGAAGGGATATTCATAGAAATTTGCCATCGAAGTCTGTGTTCACATGAAGTGGGGGGAGAGAGAGGCTGAGTGGCCCCTCTCCATTGCATTCATAAGATATCAGTCGATGACGTTGCGGAGGGCACCACAGGTGGCTGAAGGCGAGAGACACGTGTTGTTGGCTGGCAGCCTGCCTTCACATCTGGTAAGAAAATCACTTCTGCAGTACAAACTGCTCAATGAACTCATTCTGTTCGGCCTCCACCTTAAGAAGAGCTTCGTACTGGATGCGGTATCTGTGTGTGAAACGAGAGGACGTGAACAAGAGATTAGCAGTGGAAGACAAGACCGACCGTGCAAGTGAATTAATCGCTCGTGCAAACTGCGTCAGAACATCGCATGGCAGGCCATTCACTGGTAGTAATTTAGATATTTATTGAGGCTACTCCTGAAACCATCCACGAATCACAAACTTCAACATATGAGCATATAAACACTGCTGAATGACTCCTCGCTATACAAAAGCATCAAAACCTCAAAATTATGAAGATCACATTGCAAGACCGAATGTATTTATTTTTTTACAAAGTGAAAAATCAACAGGGTTGAGATGGTTTGTCAATTATTTATCTTCTTTGCTGTTTTGTGTAGAACTTGTTATACTGAATCTGGGTTGAAGTTTGTTACACAATAGTATTCTTCTTTCTGTAATGAGAATAACAGTGCCAATGAATGTATGTGCCTTGCAACACTTAGTAAAAAGCATAGCTGTTACATGTTAAATATTGACATATGTAGTAGGCTTTTAACGATTCACCCTCATTCACCCCCACAATTCAATTGGCACGACTTTGGGCGACAATTTTATTCCAGCATGAATGATGTCTTGTACAGATTGTCCTCTTATCATTTGTGCCATTTGTACAGTTTGTCTTGTACAGACCGTTATCCTGATGGCAAACTAGCACATAAATAAGATCAAAACTCATCCACAAGCGGCTGAATGCACGTTTCGCTGAGCATAATAATCTATTTGACTTGAATCAATAAAGAGACGCTTGGTTCACGGCACGAGACGTGAGCAGGATCCCAGGGCCGCGTGCGCTCACCTCTCCAGCTGGACGCGCTTCTCAGCGATGAGCGCCTGCAGCTGCTGTTGCTGCGCTTCCCGCTGCTTGGCCACCGACTGGAGCTGGTTCCGTGCACCAATCGCCTGCGAGCAAAGTAACCACAGGCCCCCCCGTGTCATTTGTTAAACGTTAACCGTGAATTGCCCCAGTGATTAGTCCAGTGCCAGGGGTAAAACAATTTTTTAACCTGTTGTTTTAAGCACACACCAGGGCAATAAACTTTGTGGAGAAAATGTGCGATGATCAGGGCAGTGTATATGCTTACGTTAGTGCTTCAGTACATCGTGGACGTAAAGGCAAACTACATCCAGTGATGTTGGCACTTAAAAAAAAAACCACTGCTGATGAAGGAGAGGGGAAACTACCTCAACCATCCTTCCCTAATTTATGGCTCCACAGCTCCTAGTGTGGTGCTGTGTGGAGGCGAAGGGGGATGAATGTCGGATCAGACGTTATGAAGCTGGGCGGTGATGGCGCACGTCTGAAATCCAGCACTGTGGAGGCAGCGAGGGTTGGTGGATGAGACAATTGATGAAACATTTTGCGAGACTTCCTTCCCGTGGGCATCGAGGTGCAATGCCCTGGCCTGCCAGCAGAATGCAGTACACTAAAGTGTGGGCTGATATCATGTCCCGTCTGCATGGGATACAGTGTTGCCCCCTCGCATGGGTCGGTTTTTAGTGGGTGCTCCAGTTTCCTCCTGCATGTAAATATATTAATGTACAGAGAACTAGAGGAATTATTGGCACCAGTTGTATGTGGTTCCTTAGCGAATGTGAGATGCAATTTGCATGAACGACGCTGTATAAAATTAATCGTTTAAGATATTTTCTTTGGAAGCTTGATCTATGGTTCTGCCCTGAGGCAAATGTTGTGGCAAAGTGCTTCAATGTAGATGACCAAAGATATTACATTTTCATGCTACTTATACAGAAAGTATACAATGATTTGACACCTGGCACATGTGGAAATGACAAAGAGAAAGCTTTTTTATATTAATCTATGAACGGTTTCTACCAAAGAGAATCTAATCATTTTAATGAAAACAGCTCTGGAACAAGCTGGCACCAAAAAAAAAATGTTCATGTCATTGTAGTGCTCCACAACTCTGCTGTCTGTAGCATATCCCCCTTTCATTGAAATAAATAGAGCGCACATCATCACAAGCTTAAAAATAACCATCAGGAGGAAAACAAACTGTTCTGTACCTTCATGATCTCTTTCTCAACCTCCTTGGCCAGCTGATCCACCATGTCAATGAGGCCACCCACCACTCCCTGAAACTCCGCAATCTCTGCCATGACAATCAACAAGAGACACACACAAAACAAAGACCCCCCCCCCCGCATAGCCTTAACAGACTGTAGGGGCAAGTGCTGTTAGCGAGCATCTATAAAGGCCGGCATGGCATGCGAAAGGGGTGGGTGGCCAACATCACGCCCGGCCGCCTTTGTCTCCCTAGTGGCGATGTTTACACACCGCACCAGGCACTCATTTGAGGCTGAGTCGACCTAGGGGAGGCCCAGCACCTGTTTAGATAATCGTCACTGGCGTTGGGCGTGAGCGGAAATCGAACTCGGGGTGCCGGGTTCGTAGCGCAGTGCGCTAACCGCTACACTAACACACAAACGCATAAAAACAGAACTATGTTCGCCACATTACGCGAAACGGTTACTTATCTGCGCTCCTTAACTGCATCTTTTGCCGAGTCAGTCTCTTTGCTTGAGATGAGCAGTGGGGGATATTGAGCCAGTGATGGAAATACTTCATTCCCATGGAGTGTCTCTCCAGTAGATGACCACTGTTGCGATTCTACAAAACGGTGCCAAATATTATGCACGCAGGAGGGATGATGGGTTGAGTTGTAATTTTTAGATGTGCACAATCGCCCTACAATTAAGGGTAGTCTTATAATTATTATTTCACAAGGCAGAATTTACATTATGCTGTAAATTAATCCTCCTGTTTACATCAAGGACGTCATTTCCAAGATGGAATGCGACACTTTTTCATTAACCATCCATGGACATCGTAAGATTTGTTTTAAATATTTTAGAGGCATCTATAACTAAAGCTGTAAACAACAAAATGTGTATCGTAAAATATGGCTTTCACAGCTGGCACACACACATAGACTGCCACATATTTTCTAATTTCTGCCACTTATTAAGCACATAATGTATCATGGAAAGCACACAGTCTTGCCAAAGCAATGGTGCAAAGGCCAATAAAATATCCTGGCAGCTGTGTGTGCCATAAACATGTGCACACCTATGGATTTTATGTCAATCTTAAAAAAAATCTATTTGGTTTCCCAAAGCTGGGACTCTGAGCATCTGTGATTAACATTGAACCTTCAGAAACCGCTACACAATTTGGATTTATAAGGCAGCTAAATACAACGACATCCCAAGACTATGTACAAAACATGGCAACAAAAACAAGGAGAAAACATGGGCGAAAACGGGTGTATGGTTTAGCAGAGGGAGTAAACACGTAAGAGGCTACAGGGTGAAGAAGCCAGACTATAATAATATAATAATTCTAATTTATAATGCGCATTCCATCCTAGGATCCCAATGCGCAATGCATGAAAAGCTGGAAACAAAAACAGAACCAGGGGCAACCAACCAAACTAAAGAGGGAAGGCCACTTAAAAGAGATGGGTTTTCAAAGCAGACAGCATGGCTCCATATTATTTAGGACATTGGTTGGTTTAACACGGAGGCTTTTGCGACCAATATCATCGATAATAGAGGTTTTTTTGGGTTATATCGAGTAAATATATAAAAGTGTCGTTAAAACCCACCACCACCCGACACAGCCAACTAGTAAAGGCTTGTCACGTAAACAGAACGTGCCAATTCGTCACTAGTACAGCACGCCGGTGTGTTGGAGAACCAAGCCACAACATTTACAATCTGAGTATGACGTTTCGCCAGTAATTACAACTAGCTTCATCAGGCGACAGCCAGATTTGTCGAGAAGTCTAACTGTTTCGTTCCTCTCTAAGAGAGTGCACGAATACTGCGCAGCGCATTACAAGTTGACATTTTTACTCATGTGATGGCATTGAGACAACATCCAAAGCCAGGCGAGCTTCTTCACGGTAGCATTGCCAGGCAACAGGGACGCTGCAAGGCCACTCGCTTGCCAATACCAATATTCACCAGTAAGTGACAGTGACGTCACGACGGCGCCTGTGCCAGGCCAGGTGCACTTTGAGGCTGCCACGTGAAGTGTCAAATGCTCGCTAACAGGAGAAGGTTTCGGGACAGACCCAGGTGGTGCCATGGGTTGGCTGACTAAGATGACCGGTAGATGCACCAGCTGTACCCCCTGCTGTGCCAGGCTAGGTGCAGGAGGTCTCGGGACAGACCCAGGTGGTGGCATGGGTTCGCCAACTGAGATGACCGGTAGATGGACCAGCTGTACCCCCTGCTGTGCCAGGCTAGATGCAGGAGGTCTCGGGACAGACCCAGAAGGTGCTTTGGGTTGGCTGACTGAGATGACCGGTAGATGGACCAGCTGTACCCCCTGCTGTGCCAGGCTAGGTGCAGGAGGTCTCGGGACAGACCCAGGTGGTGCCATCGGTTGGCCAACTGAGATGACCGGTAGATGCACCAGCTGTACCCCCTGCTGTGCCAGGCTAGGTGCAGGAGGTCTCGGGACAGACCCAGGTGGTGCCATGGGTTGGCTGACTGAGATGGTGCACCAGCTGTACCCCCTATTGTGCCAACCTGCTGCACTCGCTTGCCACAGCCAATATAACAAACAGAACGGCTCTGGCTACTCACCCCTTGCAGACCCATCATTTTACCACAAAAAAACAACACATCATGGGACCTCCTTTGCCAGTTCCAAAAAATGAGAATCGGGTTTCCCATTTTTTCTGGTAACAGAACAGGTGTTAAGATATTCTTGGTTCTTTCGGTAAAGTCACGTAGAAGGGAAACAATAAAATCATAAAAATATAAAACAATACAATTCTCACGACGTTTCGACTGCAACACAAGCAATCATCATCAGGTGTGCAAATCACAGCAATCACCTGATGATGATTGCTTGTGTTGTAGTCGAAACGTCGTGAGAATTTTATTTTTTAAAATTTTTATTATTTTATTGTTTCCCTTCTACGTGACTTTACCGAAAGGACCAAGAATATGAATCCCTGCAGTCACGAAAGCTTTAAATCCAAATTTAGGTGTTAAGATGTTAAAACACCAAACTGAAACCTTTTACAAAGAATCATGTCTGCATTAACCACAATACAAAAAGGCCTTTTGGCGTCCTCTGGTCTAACACCGTTTGAGACGAGGCTCAAAAGAAAGCTGTCTCTGGTGTGGACCAATCAGTTTCAAGGACAATGCGTATATTATCAGTGTTTTTGTTTGCATTCTGACCACAAGTACTGTGGTTAATGCAGACATGATTCCTTGTAAAAGGTTTCAGTTTGGTGTTTTAACACCTTAACACAGCTGTTTTGTTGCCAGAAAAAAGGGGAAAACCTATTCTAAAAAAAAACCACTCAACACACCTCGTGACAAAGATGTGCTATGCTGGAGGGCCAATTCCACCGTGGTATTGACGAATGTGTTAAAGGATTTTGTTTGTTAATCTAATTGTGCTCATGCACCAGTAGCAGCGTCACTAACACACCCTTAACATACAAAAAACACAATGAGCCAAGACCAGACAGTCCACTCGGTCAGTCGGAGCCACCTGAGCTGTCATAACTTTCATGGCCAACAACAGCGGACGATGCGATAACCCAAGTAAAAGCTAGCGAGTTGTCGATTCACCCTTCTTTAGCGGTGGAAATAAACCGGGACAGTTACTGCTAAACTTCTGCTAAATCCTCGTTGGCACCGATTTCTGCTTTGGCCCTTCGACGGCGTTCATGCGTATCGCCATTGTCATGAGTCAAGTTCGATCCACAGCTGGATGAGAGACCTTCCTCTGCGGCGGAACACAATTTCTCACGGATGCTTTCGATGGAAACGAACCTACGTGGCACTGCACACGCACGCGATTCCATCAAGGTCCCTCTCTCCCAGGGGTTTTACACGTAAGGGGCCGTCCATAAATGACGTCACGCGATTTTTGACCCCCACCCCCCGTCGTTACACGGCGTCACAAAAAGTCAGACCCCCCCCTCAAATATGACGTCACAATGCTCTGCCCCCCCCCCCAAAAATAAAACATGCTTCAAATTGCTTTAAACTATTCATTGTAGTGCGTATTTAATGTGCCGCTGCACTCTGATGTTGTAGGAGAAATCATTTATTAAAAAATATATTTAATTAAGTAAAACGTGTTGTCTATATTGATTTAAAGTTGCGCATTTTGATGTGACGTCACATTTCTTAAACACCGCCCCCCCCCTCGTCACACATCGTCACAAATGTCTGAACCCCCCCCCCCAGGTGCGTGACGTCATTTATGGACGGCCCCTAACGCGCTGTGCTCTTACACGTAAACCACCTACAGATACAATACGTTTTATGCAGTGGTGCACAAGTTACAGCAACAACAACTAACTCAACACATCCCTCAATAAAACTGTCTAAAATGTAATATATTCCCTCTTTAAAATCGTCTGGCCTGAAAGGAAGAGTAGGCCAAGGTAGCCTCTAACAGAGGGGGCTCACTGCAGATGCCTCCAGTGGAGGCCTTTCGCCGGCAGGCGCGTTAAGTCATTGCAGGGCTGCAACTTTAACTTTACATACGCACATTAAACGTCGGCTACGAAGGGCCATGGCCCGAAACGTTATTTTTGTTGTTGTTGTACAGCAAAACGCTTCCAATGGAAACACAAAAAAAGTCCAATGCCCGAAACGTCGGCGATAGTGTGACCGAGAATGTTGTTGAGTTGTCTAAGGACACAGATGCGGCAAGGAGGGGCCGTCGCCTCCTCCTCATCATTCTCCTCCTCATTCTCATCATCATCATTCTCATTATTCTCATCATTCTCCTCATCATCGTTATCATCGTTCTCATCATTCTCATTCTCATCATTCTCCTCATTCTCCCCCTCATCATTCTCCTCCTTCTCATTATCATTCTCCTCAATCTCATTTTCATCATCTTTCTCCTCATTCTCCTCATCATTCTCCTTCTCATCATCATTCTCATCATTCTCCTCATCATCCTTCTCCTCATCATTCCCCTCCTCACTCTGCACGAACTCCTTGCACTCCTCGCGAAGCTCGCCCGTCTGTTGCGCCGCCTCGGGCTCCAGCAGCCGCAGCTTGCTCAGCTCGTCGAAGTGGAGGCCCGACTTGGCCAGCACCTCGTCCCCCATCGCGCCCTCGCCTCTTCCTCCTCCTCGTCGTCGTCCTTCCCTCTCCTGCCCTCTTCTCCTCGTCTCCCTCCTCGAATCCTCTCCCCCACCACCACTGGTCCTCCTTCTCCTCGTTCTCCTCGTCTCGTCACGCCTCCTTCTCCGCCTCTTGTTTCTCTTCCTTTCGTTCACCTCTTCTCGCCCCCCTCCTCCTCCTCCTCTCTCTCTTCTTCGTTCCCCTCGGGGGCTCCTCCGCTGGGGTCAAACTCAGGACTCCTAAGCAACGGGGCACGACGCCGCTTTCAATTTGGTAGCGCGGTTAAGCGGCCCGTGGAGCCCGGCCCCGCCCCCGCAGCGCGTATCCGCTGTGTGGAATGCAATGCGCCCGACGTCACCAAGTCGCCGTGCACCCGCAACGCGGACTGGGCCACTTTACGGGGTCAACGATAAAGTGCGGGTTTTACGTCTTGGGCTTTCGTTGCTTTTATAGCTCGCGCTATATTTAATATTTCTTATATAAACGCTTAAATATATATTTTAAAAAAATATAACGACAGCGAATTCATAGCTATTCGTAAATAACAAAAAAACGTTAACGCACCCCCGCGTTTAAATGGTTCTGCCCCGGGCGAGGCAGCCGAGGGGGGTGTGGGCGGGTGTCGCCTTGGTCACGTGGTCACGGTCGGGGCAGCGCGTGGTGAGGGTGACGTCACAGTCGAGGGTCAGCTTGGCGGCCATGTTGGTAGAGGGAAGCACCTGCATATTTAGACTGGAGGAATCCGATGAGCTATAAAGCTCTTTTTAAACAGATGTCAAGCCGGAACTTTACAACAGTAGAAAACCCACGATAGGCCTGCAAAGTACAGGAAAGGTAAAGAAATCACGAAAAAACAGAGCCACATCACCAAAACCCTGTAGAAATACAAGCACTTGGAACATCTACATGCATCACGCTGAAGCTTTGCCACGACGGATCATGCTGTCATGTATAGCGAAATGTTTAGCTTATTAGATGTTTCAATCTATTATTAAAGGCTGTGTTACTGTATAGCGCACTATACGATACATATTCACATGCCAATTAAAAAACTGGTGATCAGAATTTTTAAAAGCGAATTCTCATGCAGCCCCATGGTGTCAAGTGCAGCCTCCAATCCGCTTTAACTGTATCTTTCTGACCTATATCTATTTTGTGCTATGTTTTAGGTTTGTTTTAATTTGTTCCACGGATGACCCCGTTTAGCAAGTTTCCCGGCTATAATTAACGTCAACACTACAGAGAACGAGTACAGGGTCCTTTATGAATATTACACAGATTTGAGATGGCCTAACTTGTTGACGTACAGAGAAAACAGAATCAGAAAATGTATTTAATCCTGGAGAAACCCGATGAGCTATGAAGCTCTTTTCACAGATGTCCAGTAGGGGCATCTCAGAACGTTAGAACAAACAGTACAACTCTCTTAGTCACGTGGGTCCTGTGAGAAGATGTATTATTGATGGTGACAATTTGAAATCGGTCAGATAAGGAGTTGCAAATCCAGTTGATTGCAAGATCTGACATTTTTGGCATTTTAGCCTTCGCAACATTACAGCATGATCGGGAGCGGAGCCACAGGGGGGGGGCTCAGCACCCCCTGAAATTTTGGGAAAGTTGGTAATCGGGATAACCGGATATCCGGCTGCTGCAAAATGCTGTTGGCTGCCACCTCGTGCTGCCCTGCAGGCTGCCACCTTGTGCTGCCCTGCAAGCTGCCACCTTGTGCTGTCCTGCAGGCTGCCACCTCGTGCTGCCACCTTGTGCTGCCCTGCAGGCTGCCACCTTGTGCTGCCACCTTGTGCTGCCCTGCAGGCTGCCACCTTGTGCTGCCCTGCAGGCTGTCACCTCGTGCTGCCCTGCAGGCTGCCACCTTGTGCTGCCACCTTGTGCTGTCCTGCAGGCTGCCACCTCGTGCTGCCACCTTGTGCTGCCCTGCAGGCTGCCACCTTGTGTGCTGCCCTGCAGGCTGCTTGAGCGGCAGCCTTTCGAACTTATGGAACTTATTAGCCACGTCAGCGGCTCCGACCTATTAATAAACTCCGCGTTCAAATCCAATAAAATGTGTTTTATACATTTGTGGCGCCCATTGTAAAACCTAAACACTGGATGTCTCACACTATTGAAGTCAGCCCCCCACAAAGTCAAAATCCTGCCTCCGCCCCTGAGCATGATCCAGTCTCAAATGCTTCAGACAAGTAGGGGAACACGATGGCACAATGAGGACGAGATTCCAGACCGATAAAAATAAAATCTAGAGTATTTAGTACCTGCAGCGGTTGTGCTCTAAATTATAAGGGACATTGATGGAAAGGTTACCTAAGGGGCCGTCCATAAATGACGTCACGCACCTGGGGGGGGGGGGTCAGACATTTGTGACGATGTGTGACGAGGGGGGGGGGTGTTTAAGAAATTTGACGTCACATCAAAATGCGCAACTTTAAATACATATAGACAACACGTTCTACTTAATTAAATTGACTTTTTAATCAATGTTTTCTCCTACAACATCAGAGTGTAGCGCCACATTAAACACGCGGTACAATGGCAATAGTTTAAAGCGATTTGAAGCATGTTTTATATATTTGGGGGCGGGGGGGGGCAGAGCTTTGTGACGTCATATTTGAGGGGGGGTCTGACTTTTTGTGACGCCGTGTGACGAAGGGGGGGGGGGGGTCAAAAATCGTCCAAAATCGCGTGACGTCATTTATGGACGGCCCCTAAACGTGTACCCCAAACGTCGTTAAATCAATGTACAATGATTCGTTTTAACGTTACGTATTAATTGGCTTTTTCCGATTTCATTCTCGTTTGTTCTTTTAAAATTACATTTTCCAATCTCTAAATTACATCGCTTCCCTCGCAATACGCGCGTTCCTGAAAAAGTGCGTAAGTCGAATCGCGCGCGCTGTATGAAGCCTACTTTCCCATAGATGTTATAAGGGGGAGGGGGGGGGGATACGTTACCTAAGATTGATAAAATACGTATAAAATTTAACACGATTATTAACATTACAAAAATACAGCGGCAGCAGCAAGCAGCAGCGGCAGCAGCAAGCAGCAGCGGCAGCAGCAAGCAGCAGCGGCAGCAGCAAGCAGCAGCGGCAGCAGCAAGCAGCAGCGGCAGCAGCAAGCAGCAGCGGCAGCAGCAAGCAGCAGCGGCAGCAGCAAGCAGCAGCGGCAGCAGCAAGCAGCAGCGGCAGCAGCAAGCAGCAGCGGCAGCAGCAAGCAGCAGCGGCAGCAGCAAGCAGCAGCGGCAGCAGCAAGCAGCAGCGGCAGCAGCAAGCAGCAGCGGCAGCAGCAAGCAGCAGCGGCAGCAGCAAGCAGCAGCGGCAGCAGCAAGCAGCAGCGGCAGCAGCAAGCAGCAGCGGCAGCAGCAAGCAGCAGCGGCAGCAGCAAGCAGCAGCAGTCTGTTCGCTCTCCCTGAGCAAGATGGGGGCGCGATCGCACCCACAACAACAACCACCGCCATTCGCCACTAAGTGGCGGTGACGTCACCCCGACGCTTGTGCCAGGCTACGTGCACCTTGAGGCCACACACTCCTCTTCCGGGCACCCCCCACCCCCACCACCACTCCCCACACCGCTCCCAGGCCTCCCCTCTCCTCGCTCCGTCCGGTGTCTCCGCTCAAAGGCCGAGCCGCTCGCTTCCTGCCCAACAACAACCACCACCACCCCCCACAGCGAACTCCTCGCGAGCCATGGTCGCCTAACAATTGCGCTGTTCACGGGCATCTCGGCCGCCTTGTCCGTCTGTCCCCGCGGTGGCCGAGGCGTACAGACTCGTGATCTTCCTGCGCAGCGTCAAGGCGGCCCCGTCGGCCTCGTGCTCACCGAGCCCCATGTCAGGGGACCCGGCCGTGGCCGCGGCGGCGGCGGCGTCGGCGGCGGCGGCGTCGTCCTCGTCTCCTCCGGCGTCGACTGCTGCGGCTGCGGCGGTCGTGGTGGCCTCGGGCGGCCCGGGTGGCCCCGCGCTCGCGCCGGTGTCGCTGCCCCCCGGGGGGGCCCTGGCCCACCACTTGCCCCCCGTGCAGCAGGCGGTGGCGATGTCCGCGCAGGGCCCCGGCCACGCTCCGGCCGGGCCTTTGTCTGTGTCGGTGCCGCCGCTGCCGCCGATGGCCGCGGGCACCGCGCAGGGCCCCACCGGCCGGGCGGTGTCGTTCAAGGGCGTGAGCCCCAGCAGCAAGTACGTGAAGCTCAACGTGGGCGGAGCGCTCTTCTACACCACCATGCAGACCCTCACCAAGCAGGACACCATGCTCAAGGCCATGTTCAGCGGGCGCATGGAGGTGCTGACGGACAGCGAAGGTGAGCGGCGGTCGGGTGTGGTGGTTGGTGTGGTGGGTGGTGTGGTAGGTGGTGGTTGGTGGTAGTGGTTGGCGTGGTGGTGGTTGGCGTGGTGGTGGTTGGCGTGGTGGTGGTTGGCGTGGTGGTGGTTGGTGTGGTGGTGGTGGTTGGCGTGGTGGTGGTTGGTGTGGTGGTGGTTGGTGGTGGTTGGCGTGGTGGTGGTGGTTGGCGTGGTGGTGGTGGTTGGTGTGGTGGTGGTTGGTGTGGTGGTGGTGGTAGTTGGTGTGGTGGTGGTTGGTGTGGTGGTGGTTGGTGTGGTGGTGGTTGGTGTGGTGGTGATGGTTGGTGTGGTGGTGGTAGTTGGTGTGGTGGTGGTTGGTGTGGTGGTGGTGGTGATTGGTGTGGTGGTGGTGGTGGTTGGTGTGGTGGTGGTGGTTGGTGTGGTGGTGGTGGTTGGTGTGGTGGTGGTAGTTGGTGTGGTGGTGGTGGTTGGTGTGGTGGTGGTAGTTGGTGTGGTGGTGGTGGTTGGTGTGGTGGTGATGGTTGGTGTGGTGGTGGTGGTTGGTGTGGTGGTGGTGGTTGGTGTGGTGGTGGTTGGTGTGGTGGTGGTTGGTGTGGTGGTGGTTGGTGTGGTGGTGGTTGGTGTGGTGGAGGTGGTTGGTGTGGTGGAGGTGGTTGGTGTGGTGGAGGTGGTTGGTGTGGTGGTGGTGATGGAGGGCCCCACGCACGGGTGCCGCTCTGGTAATGGCTTCGTGTGCTTGGTGATCCGTATGTAGATTACCCCATTGATGTATAACGAATCCCCGCTTCGTTATAACGACATCGCTGTCAACCCGAACAGTTTAACTCCGTATTCTTGTACAAAGAAATTTAGATTTTCAGGTCCAAACGGCCGTACAGCCGTTTCAATGTGTTTGCGTTTCTCCCTTGTGATGGGAACTTTGTAGGATGAACGTTGAGATTTATAAGGGGCACGGGGTGACCCAATAAGGTCTGAATTGGTCTGTGATAAGGTAGGGCACTGATAAGGGGTTGATGGCTATGTTAACGTTCTCGACGGGCGATTTTCGTCTTTGTCGTTATAAGCGACGAGCTCCCGTGTTATCTTTACACAAAAAATGGAGAAGCGTGATCGTTGTTACCGAGTGGTGGGATTCGTGTAAAAGGTTTTGTTCTCTCTCTCGAATTTCTCCCGTCTTGTTTCGGTGGGTTATCTATAAACGCGTTTCAGCCGTGTTGTTTTGCCATGTTGTGAGGCATTGCGGTTTTGTCAAGAGCACTGCTTTGGAAGAGATGTGGTGGTTCAAAGCCACCTGTTGTGTCCATTTCAGAGCCTCCAGGCGATTCAATCCATGTCAGGTGCTTGCCCTTTGTACACCGTGCAACGAGTGTCACTCTTTTTAGAGTTTTGAGAGCTGGAGTTTAGTTTAGTTTTTAAATTAAACATTTACGAGCTCTCCTGGTGACCTGGAGAGGTCGTTTATCTTCTCACCACACCTAAAGTCTAACCATGGGTGGCTGCCACCTGCAGTCGAACCCAGAATCTCGGCAGTGCCAGCTCCGTGCCCCCCCCCCCCTACGCAGTAATTGTCGCCTTGGCTATCACTGACACTGGCGGGGAAGGGGACCTTTAGTCACATTATACACTATGTAACACGATTTTTGTTCCTGGGTAGCAAGTGTTATTTTCTAATTCCTTATGCCTCAAAAGTGTAGAAAATGGCTTATTATTCCCCACAAACTTTGCTTTTGTGGCCAGGACTTTACGTGAAGGAAAGACACAAACGCGCACACATTTTCTCATTGAAAATGGGTAAATTTCAAGATATCAATATCCTGGTCACAAAAGCAAAGTTTGTGGGGAATAATAGCCATTTTCTGTACTTTTGAGGCATAAGCAATTAGAAAAAACACTTGCTGCCCAGGAACAAACAAATATTTTTTTCTTACACAGTGAATTATCAGTGTCAAACCTCATGAATTGAGTTACTTTGGGAGCAGATATTTCGAGGTCCTAGCCGTCCAGTGTGCACCCTACGAGATGTGGTGGTGTCGGCAGCATTGTGTTTGATGAGCCGCCTCCACAATCGCATCAACAACAAAAAGAGAGCCGGCTCTGAATGGATGCACGTGGCAGAAGAGCTACGATTGCCAACAACGTCATCCGACCAAAAACCCAGTCATTTGCTCAAATTGCCACCCGAAGCCGTCTTGGGCAATCCCCAAGCTGATTTTTTAATTTGGAGAGAGAGCAGCAGCAGTTGAGTCTCAACAATCGTTCTGTCACAGGTAAATATAGCTACAGGCGGACTGCGGCGATGGCAAGGTTGGTGCGATCAACGTCAAAATAAAATGTTGTGCCTGCACATTGACCCAAACTCAAAGCGGGGCGGGCGGTGGGGGTGTTGCACACCCTGTACCACAACTCCTAGCGACCTCCGTTCGATTTCTCTTGACACCGGATTACAGGCACGTCACGTGGAGATGGCGTAACCCAAGGGTTTCCCGTCACAAGCGGCGCACAAAGCGGTCTTAAGTTAATTTTGCTCCCTTTGTAATTTAGAGCATCGTAATCTGCGGGAGCCGATGATCCAGTAATTCCAAATGGGTCCGATCTTGTCAGATCTCGGAAGGTTAAGCAGGATTTCAGTCTGGCTAGTGCATTGATGGGTGACCACACGCTTACAACGGACGTTATATAGGCTGATGCGAGGGTGCTTTGTGGGCGGCAGGCTGCAATGCAGTAGCATCCTTCGTTGTACTGTGCTATGCTGTCAGGTCTGTGTTCCCTGCCTTCACCCACCCACAGTGATCCAAGTGGTGACGTATGGGTCAAATAATGCTGTAAGGAGGCCCTCATCTAGCAGTGGATTAACACAGGGTAGTTATTACTTGTTTAGATGTTTCGCTGTTGTAATGCGATGGTGCTTTTAGTTTGGCGGTTTATTCGGATGTGCGTTTGATCGTGGCAATTGTGACAATTGCCTTCTTAGCCATGATGGGCTACACCTATACCATATTTTCCGCTTTATGACATGCACCATTTGCCCTTGTTTTTTTTCCCAAAAGTTGGGGGTGATTCTTATAGTCTGGGAGGTGTGCGACCAGAATCGTCCAATTTTATTGACACTGGGCACACGGTTTGGAATGCGCCTTACATTCCGGAGCATCCCAAGGTACCGCTTTGGAAGAAAATAAAAATTGCCACCACATCCAGACTCGTGTTCCTTCTGCGCACCGCCAAGATTGCCCGTCAGCCACGTGCCGCTTCACGCAACGAGCCGCCTTTGTCGGGTACCCCTGTGTTCACGCGAGCGCACCGCGCCTCTCTCCCACACTCACCACGATGCCGGCGAGCAGGCTGGATTCTGATCGACCGCTGCGGAAAGCACTTTGGCATGATCCTCAACTTCCTGCGCGACGGCGCCGTGCCCCTGCCGGAGTCTCGCACCGAGATCGAGGAGCTGCTCACAGAGGCCAAATACTACCTGGTGCAGGGTCTGGGCCAGCAGTGCCACGCCGCCCTGCAGGTATCGCGTCTCTCTGAGCGCCTGGGAAACACGCGGACTGCGCGCGCGTGCGTCTCGCCGGGAGGGGCGACCGCACGGTCCGTGACGCGCGTAGACTTGGACGGACCTGTGTTCTTCGAGGGGTGATTGTGCCCGAAGGCAAACCTAAAACTCCACTTCGTATGCACCGTGATCCGTTTATAGATAGCCCACTCCAATATATATGGCAAAGCTTCAGCCCTGCGGTCGTGCCATTGTTATGGAAAAGGCCCTCACTAGAGGGAATTCTTCAGATCCCTTCTAAAAGGGTAATGTTGGCCTGCTCCTCCATGCTGGGCAGATGTGTTGCAATAAGTGGGAGTAACCCTGAATTGTCCCTACTGAGAGCACGGTGAGGAGTGAATCATTACATTCTTGCTAAGCACCAAAGCCACAGAGGCTTGTAGAGACTGGATGTCGGATATCAAGACAGATATGGAGCCGAGAGCTACCAACTCTGCTGTTCCCCCAATATTCCCAGCATAGTTAGCGCACCCTAATACTAAGCCGTGTGGACCATGAGAAAGCCGCGTGGGTATCTACATATTTAAGGTTGACTTAAATGCCCACGGTTGGCTATGTACGGTGTGAAAGAACTTACACGTACGGGAAGGTGACCGTGAGCCGGTGAGGTGACGGCGAAGACTGGAGACCACCTAGCTCACTTGCGTCTCGTGTTATCTCTTGGCGGTGAGCAGCAGAAGCGTGATGCCGTGGACCCCATTTGCCGTGTCCCCGTCATCACCTCCCTCAAGGAGGAGCAGAAGCTCATCACCACCTCCAACAAGGTGACCCTTTAAGCACGCATTCTCACATTCACTCTTGTCACTTGTGCTGCGGGGAGATACTCTTCCGTGCTCGGTGCTACCGGGAACGGGGTTGCACATTTTGTAAGCGTGTGGTTTCCTGCTCTAATGAACGATGCTCATCTTCTGTTCTTACTCCGGAGCCACTGGTGACAAGTCCACATTCTTCTAGCGGGGATAACTTCTCTTGAATTCAAATGAAGTGGGTTTTTTTTTTATCTATCTCAGAATTGTGGAGGACCGAGTCGACTCTCCGACCAGGATTTGACCTCCGCAACCTTCCAATTGCAGTCCACGTGCTCTAACCGCTCGGGCGGGGAGAGGATTTTCACGAGGCTTCTCTTCCATGTCTATTGTGTTGTCATGTCTTGCCTGACCCACACATGGTGCTGTGAGGCTGTGGATGATTGGTCTTTGCTGCAACCTTTAAAACCTGATATATGGATACAGCAAGCACATGCAAACACCACTTCAGCGTTGTGTTTCTATTTAGTTTTGCCGAGACTGCCAACTCATTGGGAAATTGGGAATCTTTTAACCTCGTGCGAGAAATCCGGGTCCGACAATGGATTCTCCGGTACATAGGTTTAATACCGTGAGTGCAAGTGTGCGCGCATGAAATTACGTATGTCAAGAGCTTCACGGGAGGAATTGTAATATCATTCAAGCAACGTTTGGAAGGGATCATACTCTGCATTAATATTTCGCAGCATAATCCTGAATATCCATTTTTCCCCCCCACAGCCGGTGGTGAAGTTGCTGTACAATCGTAGCAACAATAAGTACTCCTATACCAGGTGAGCCTTTTGGTTTCGCACCCCCTCACTTTCGTTGCGCTCCGTCTACCGTCTCTCCCACTCTGTGCGTGCCAATGTGCACAGCACACCATCACGTGGAACACGCTATGCGGAGCGGCACTGCGTGTGTCGCGTGCACACCACGCTGTTGTTGCTGCAAATTAAATGCACCCGACGACGGAAGCCACTGTTGAAAAGCGTTAGCGAATCGACGCGTGATTTTTTTTTTCTTCCTTGTTGATAGCGGGGGGGGGGGGGGAGGTTGCGTGCGAATCCACCACAAGCAGGCGCCATCTCCGCCCCGCCCCTCGCCCTGTGGCCCACCTCTTTATCGACCGTTGGCCGTGTTTTCCGCAGCAACTCCGACGACAACATGCTCAAGAACATCGAGCTGTTTGACAAGCTGTCGCTGCGCTTCAACGGGCGCGTGCTCTTCATCAAGGACGTCATCGGAGACGAGATCTGCTGCTGGTCGTTCTACGGGCAGGGCCGCAAGATTGCCGAAGTGTGCTGCACCTCCATCGTCTACGCCACGGAGAAGAAGCAGACCAAGGTGCGGCATTCCACGGCGGTTCTGGGCATTCGAAGCCGGTCCTCGTGGTGTCACACCGAGCCCAACACGATCACAAAACTACACCCCTTGGACAAGGGGTCAATTAAGTGAGTCGATTACAAATGTTAATCGACTCCTTTTGTTGTCCAATGCTTGGGCGCCCCTTAAAAAATGGTGTCAGCCCACACATCCTGGCTCGCGAAGGCAGGAAACGCCCGTCAGCCGCGTCCAGCGCGACGCGGCCGGCGGGTGCCGATGGCTGTCGCAAAGCCGCGTCCCTGTCGCATTGCGTCCAGCGGCCCACGCCGGCGCAGAGGTTTCCCCAACCTGAAATGTGAGCCAATTAGTTGAATAGCCTCAAGCGATAGATCGGTCGAGGCATTCGATTAATTATCGGAGAGCCCAGCTCTGGTCCGCACCCGTCGCTGCCGCAGCGACGCCTTAACCGGCCGCTGTCGCCGCCGCGTTCCGCTCCGTGCGTGCGCCGCAGGTGGAGTTCCCGGAGGCGCGCATCTACGAGGAGACGCTGAACATCCTGCTGTACGAGCCGCGCGACGGCCTGGGGGGCCCCGACAAGGCGCTGCTGGAGGCGACGGGGGGCGCGGCGGGACGCTCCCACGGGCCTCCCGACGAGGACGACGACCGCGACCGCATCGACCGCGTGCGGCGCATCCACGTCAAGCGGCTCGACGACCGCTCGCACCAGCATCAGTAGCGGTGCCTGCCTCACCCACCCACCCCCCCCACCCCCACTCTCCCCAGCTGTGGCCAAAGGCGTCGGTCTGGGTGGGTGCAGCGGTCGGGGCGGGGGGGGGGGGGAGGATGTCAGGAGGTGAACGGCACTGCGTATGAGACGGTGTGTTGTCGTTGTTGTCGTCCTTCCCCCCGCACCTCCGATTAGCACGGTTGGCTACGCACGGCGCGAAAGAAGTTCAACATACGCGCATACGTACGAGGTAGGATCGGGGGTTGCGGGGGAAAAGGAGGGGCGGGGTTGGTCTATGACAGGCGTCGGTAACCAAAATAACAACAAGAGCCATTTTTGAATTCGGTAAAAAAAACTACATTTCAAGAGCTGCACAATCCATGTAAATATGAGAGACGGTAGTCCTTAATAAATCACGTCACGAAGCGGTGAGTCCGGCTCCGGATCCGCCGGTTGCCAACCCCTTGGCCTGTGGGCACATAAGCCATTTCCTCCGGTCATAAGGGCGCCTTCCGGTTCACACGCTACGTCACTACGAGCTACGTCGCGGGCCAGGGGATCAGTACGTGCGTGTACGGTACGTTGAACTTCTTTCGCCAACGTACGTAGCCAAAACGGTGCTGATTGGAGGTGCGCAGCAAGGCGGCAGACTTTGGTTGTAAGATGAACCGGGAAACTGACTTCGTTGACGGTTTGTGGTCCAAAACAACACCGCCAGCAGGAGGGGGGGGTTGGTCGTGGTGTTATGTAATACACATCTGGTGTTCGCACCCAAAGACCTAACATCGTTATTTCAAAGAAAATGTGTAAAAAACAAAAAATAACAACTGGAAAGCGCCCGTCAGGTTTCTGGCCCTGGCTGTGCCTTTGGCTCCCAAGCGGTGTCATGAGACCAGCACGTGAGGCGGGCCAGCGATGCGAGGGGTGACGAAGCGAGGCGGGGTTTGGGGGTCGCCGCGGGGGGGGGGGCGGCTGTGGAGGTAGAGGGAGCGCTCGTTGCCACCGGAGTCGTTGAGCGCGATCGCTTGCGTTGGCACAGCACGGTTTGTATGGGAAGGTCGACCCACGGGCAATTGCAGGGACTCCGTTCTGATAATCCAAGGTAAGGAGTTGCAGTGCTCGAAGCCCCTCGTGCATGCGGGTAGTCACATGGACGCCAGTAGCCGTCACGGTCATGGGAGTTAATCTTCCTTGCGGAGATATCCTTTTTTTCTACCAATTTGTTGCGTTTATCTCATAATGCACACAACAAAAATACATTTTGAAAGTCCATTGAAAAATGTAATCCAATTTTTTAATTGAAAACGCTGTATTTTTCCTGATCACTTTTTTTACCTGCCCAACAATGCAAACAGGAGGTTTTGTTGCCAGTGGCCAAACATGTGGGTGTTGTAACCGGAACGTCATAGTGCAGGGACGTCCTAGAGTCAGTTTGGCAAGCTTCTCGTCATGCAGGGAAAAAGTCTTTGGGAAAGACGAACGGTTGTCGAGTCGGAAGCAACCACCACGACCCATCGCGGTGCTCCCCTACTGCTATCGTCCTCGCCGCTTCTTCCCTCCTCCCCAAGATAACACCACTCACACCTTAGAAGTTCCTCCGTCCTGCGTGTATGCAATATCGTAGTTTCCAGTCTTGAGATTTTTTTTTTGTTAGTTAGCGTCCTGTTATCACCTATTTTGAGATGACGAATCGGCGTGGGCCGATTTGCGGGTGGACCAGCAAGCGCGACGGTTTTCACCCTGTGGATCAGATTTGTACATTGGCAGGGAGGCAGTGTCGGCGGCGGCCGATGTTTGTGGCGGAGAGAAACGGGAGGGGGGGGGTTGTGGGAAACTCTCCCCGCCTTTTTGTTGAACCAAAATAAATCACCGTCGTGCATAAAAGTCATGCCCACCCCCCCCCCCCAGTCTTTTTGCAGGTCGTGTGCTCACTTTACGCATAAGAAGGAACCCCCCCCCCCCCTCCCCCATTTGTTGAAGAATGCCCCACACATAGTTGGACTGACTTGCGACGGTCCCACCTGTTTTTGAGAATTTGAAGCTGGCGGCGTTGGGGGCAGCCTTAAACGACACTACCGGTTGGCAAATGTCATCCCTGGCCCTGGAAGTAGCTCTCCCAGCACTGCTGGTTTTTAAGCGCGATATTTAACATACTGTAGTGTTTTAAAGTGGGCTGCGAGATGATTCTTATTTTTTATGCTTACACTAAATAAAGCAAGGCTAAAGTAGGCTTGGCGAGATAAAAATTTAAGAGTACTTGGAAAATCTTATAAGACGGCGAATTAATAAACAAGTGCAGAGTGTCTGTGTGTGTGTGTGGCTAATATTTTTTTACGACATTGCCAATGTTTAGCTTTGCGTTTAAGGTGCATGTTTGTTTGTTTTTTTAAGTTTGTTTTGTACAATTCACCTGTTACCCGCCCACCCCCGCGTTAAGTCCAGCTTTCACGATGGGTGGAATTTAGCCTGTTTTCGCAATGCTTGGCTTCAAAGCCAGGATGGATTCCACGCAGAGTAAAAGACGTTCTCGTTGCCACTTGACCACGTGTAACACGTGCAGTAAGACGCCCAGAATGCACACCTTGCACCGCGAAAGGATTCTTGAAGCGCTGTGCCATTTCAAAACGTGCGTTGGTCAACCATTTGTTTTGTGATTTTTTTTTCGGCTTTTGCTGAAAACTGCGACGCCAAAAACAATGGTCCTCTGCGTATATTGTGCCCCGAGGCAGCCGTTATCTGCTTGTTTAGAATTCTCATTCGGGTGACTTGAGATACCGTGATGTACTTGGGAGTGCACGACCGCAGGTCTTTACCCCATCACGAGCCTTGCCCAAACAATCGCCTTAAGCCTGCCCCAAACCCAGGTGTGTAACTGAAACACACGACCGTTAATGGCGTCGTCGGTCAAGGGCATTCATTCATTCATTCCCTGTGGGCTTTACTGGAGAGGAACCATGGCCTTGTGTGTGCGCGTGTGTGCGTGTTGTGACGCTCGGAGACATTGGTGGACAGAATTCGAGGAGAAGTAGCGAGCTGGTCATTTTGAATTGTTTGGAAACAAACAGAATAATCGGGGGTCATGAGGATGTGTCGCAGCGATACAATGCAAGCTCGCTGCCCCAGTCCAAAGGGAGCGGAGTGGGGAGGATGGAGACCGTTGTGTGTTTTTTCGTAACGTGCGCGTAAAGAAAATCTCTGCGTGTGCCCCTGCGACAGTTTGCAGATCGTATGATACTTCTGCTCCGTATGACACTTCTGCTCCGCTGCTGCTCCGGGGACATTCCCTCTAAAGTGTCTCCGAAGCTGGGGGGGGGGGGGGTGGCGCTGAACCACGTTGCCAGGCTCTCCAAGATTTTTTGAGCGAATCTCAATTTCGTGGGGTTTTTTTGAGCGAATCTCAATTTAGTGTTTTTTTGAGCGAATCTCAATTGAGTGTTCTGTTTGAGATCGCCTTAACGTGGCTGGGCGAGAAGCCCTTGCGTACGCGAAGTTGGCGAGTCCAGTGTTTGCAGCTAGAGTGGGTTCCAGCCGATGGAAATATGAGCGACCGAGTGAGCTCATTTTGCAGGTGGAAAGACCGGCATGCCGGTGGGGGGGGCGGGGGGGTCGTTGTGCGTGTGCCATGCCAAGCCTGCCCTGGGTCGTATATTGCCAGTCTGTCTCGTGGTGGGTTTTTTAACGTGTGGTGGTGCTCGCTTTTTCTCCACCGCAGCGTGTAAAGAGTACAGGTGACAATTTTACGAAATAACTGTCTTGGATTTTATTGTGCAGGAATCTTTTTGCTAAGTGTGTACATTACTGAGAAATAAACATAAATTTAAAAAAAACATGCAGATGTATGCGACGTCCCTTCACCGGAATGCATGCCGGTAATTACGTTATTTCCCTATTTTTACTTGTGTTTTATTTGTGGGCTTTCTTGTGCAGTCGGTGGAAATTGCCGCGTGTCTCGTCAAGCGAAGAAGAGGCACGGGAGTCGTGCGGTCGAAATTAAATTACTTGCCTTTACATACGGGCAATGGGTTTGCAGCACCCAGATGGTATTGGTTCAAATAAAATAAAACATTTTTACAGCTTACTCATTTGGAGGGAGTTCAATGGCGGCGGTTGCCTTCGTACGATGCTGAGCAGCCTCAATAATGAGAATGTGGAATTCCCAGCCACTGTTCTACCAATGGTTGAGCAGCGTGCCCCATTGATAGTTGGAATAAAGGGGGAAACTTTGCCTCCTTTAATCGTGCAAACGTTGCCAAAGAGGGCTGCGTTGGGCCAAGGGTCCGTGGGCTCTTAACCTGGTGTGCGAACACTGCCTGGGGGTGCGAGAGGCCCTTTCTGGGAGTGCGAGACGTGGCCGTATTTTTGTTCGAAGGCAAATCATCGAAAACACAATTAAGCACGGGCACGTAAGTACAACTAATTTGTTTCGTCAAACCCAATGTATGTATTCACATTGTACACTTTATTGTGAACGAATGAGAACAAAAATGGGTGCAAGGCTGCACTAAAGGTGACGAATCACTGCCCAGAGGGTGGACATGTGGTTGGACTCGACTGGGGCTTAATTTCTCATGGAATCTTTTCCCGTACCCCCCCCCCCCCCACCCCGTAATAACATCATGGGGAGGGGAGAAGTGTAAATAGTTGTTGGAGCTCAACTCTGAACGGCTCTGGAATGAGATTAAAAGCCCCTGGACTGGACCCAGGCTCCACGTGAGGTCACAATCGCGGCCGTAGCCGTGCGTTATCACGTGCCGTGCTTTGGAGGGCATCCAGAGACGCCTTGAGCGGCAAAAAAAATGACAAATAAGACTGCGGTTGATTACTGGCGGACACAGGCATTCCCATAAATTGACATTGAGCGCGGAGCGCACTCGCAAAGGAATCTGTGTGTGTGTGCGCTCATTAAAATTGGTATGCTGGAGTGTACCCGTTGATGTTTTAACAAGCGTTTTTATAAGCATCGTGAGTTACATGAGTTGCATACATAAATTGGAATTAGCACTGGAGGTTGCATGTTTATTGGAATTACTGTGAACGCGTTCACACATCTGTAAAACGGCAAATGATCTGGTCCCACTTTAGTTTAAATGAGTTTGTGCTGTTTTAGAGATATGAACCCATTGCCCGTATGTATTGATGGACAAGACAGTCACAAGGCTCCTTACTCATAGCCAGCGACCAGCTCGCTTACAAAAAGCTTCAGAGCAGTAGTTCTTGTTCTTACCCTGTGGAGCGAGATGCCCTTTCTGGGGGGGTGTGAGACATGGCCAGATTTTTTTAGAAGGTAAATAATCGAAAACGCAAATTACGAACGGGCACGTACGCACAACTACTTTATTTCATCAAACTCTAGGTATTTATTAACAGTATACATGTTTTTAATAATTGAGAACAAAAATGGTGCAGACTGCAGTTTAAGGTTGAAGACCCAATGCGTTGGACTGCCGTCGCCTGCTCCACGCGTGAATATTCTGCACGTGTCAGCATTGTGCGTGTCATCTTTGCGTACGTGCGCATTGCACGTCCACAATCAGCGACGCAGTTATCTCGTCGTGCATCCCTCCACAGCTGTTCGCAGTGGGACTAAGTTAATATACCTGTTAGGAAATTAATATAAAATGAACTCCCAGCCATTTTCCATCTGCTGTGTGTGAGGGGCCTCCCGGTGGCACGGCGGTCGTGGTGAATTTGATGTTTAGGGGCCGTCCATAAATGACGTCACGCACCTAGGGGGGGGGGGGGGGGTCAGACATTTGTGACGATGTGTGACGAGGGGGGGGGGGGGGTTGAGAAATGTGACGTCACATCAAAATGCGCAACTTTAAATATAGAATTGTTATAACAACACTATTTGTTATAACAACACTCCTGCAACATCAGAGTGCAGCGCCACATGAAATACGCACTACAATGACAATAGTTTAAAGCGATTTGAAGCATGGTTTATTTTTTGTGGGGGAGGGGCAGAGCTTTGTGACGTCATATTTGAGGGGGGTCTGACTTTTTGTGACGCCGTGTGACAAGGGGGGGGGGAGGGTAAAAAAATCGTCCCAAAATCGCGTGACGTCATTTATGGACGACCCCTTAGCTGTGGCCAGGAAAAATCCGAACTCGGGTCACGTGGTTCTTTGTGCAATGCGCGCTTCGAAAGTAATTGGGCCAAAAATTAAAAAAAAACTCGGATCATTGGGGCATATTTTTTTTGGTGTTCAACTTGTTTCAGATTCCTCTTACAACCCCCGTAGCTCGTTGGCTGTGTGTGGACGCAATGCCCGGGACGCTGTTTTTGTTGGTTTGTTTGTTTGGAATGTTAAATGTTTGACGAATGTTGGCGTCCGCGCTTTTTGTTTTAACTAACGTTGCTTGTCACTTGAAGAGCGCTCGCCCTTTCCACGTTTGTATTGCCCAGCGAACGTGAGTTGAACATTCCCGTTCGTAGTCCATGGGCCCGGGCGGACGGTGGTACCGCCCGAGGTGGGAAACATCTTCAGTTGGGCAGTACCGATGCATGTGCACGACCAGTAAGGGTGAATTTACTTGATGGCCCACTCGTTTAAAAAAAAACTAAACTGGTGATCGCATATTTTCCCTGTTCTTTGGCAACGTGATGATATCGTAACCGTTACAGTTACGCCAGCTCAGGTGGTACCGACGAATGAGGTATCTGACCTGGAGTTGAGAGGTGATTGAGAGTGTAGATATTAAATATATGGGTTTTTTAAAAAATCTAGCTCTTGTTGCAGGGCACTGCATGTGCGGTGGTGGTGATGTTGGCGGTGGTGTAAATCGTCATCAGTGCTGCGTTTGGGTTGTCTCGCGGCGCTGTTCGACAGCAGCCCGCTGCGTTATTTTTGGGTCGTGCGGTGAACTTCTTTAGCACCGTACGCAGCCAAACCGCGCCAAATCGGGGGCTTTGTCGCTGCTGCGCGTGCTGGCAGCCGCTCGTCAGCCACTCGCTGAAGAAGCTGCGGGCACGCGGAGCGAAATGTTGGACGTGGTAACGGATAACAGCACAACGGCAATGGCACGGCAACGCGACACGGTGGGGAAACCGAGTCAAATCACCGTCGCGGAAATGATGGATTGAGCAAATTCTTTCCGTTTTACTGCACGAGTGCAACCCCCCCCCCCCCCCCCCCCGCAAATCGTAGGTTGCATGCAATCGTGGTGATGTGGTGTTATTGCCTTAATGAAATTAGAGTTTGTTTTCAAGTGATTATTTTTGGTTTGCTTAAGTATGTGTGCGTGGACGTTGAGTAGGGCAAGAGGGGTTTTTTTTGGCTTAAAAACTTTTTAAAACCCCCAGCAGGTATGCGTGACCTAAAATTCATCTGCCTAATTTAGTGTGTAGTAAACTGTTAAGAATCTATTTTTTATCTATTTTTATATGTATCGTTTATTTGTAGTACTACAGTAACATTTTTACGTTTAATGTTATGGCGTGTGGCGTACAAAATGTTATTAAAGAATTGTAAAACATACAATTTTTTTGCATTGAGTCTTTTGATAAGCATGTACAGAAAAGTTTCCCAGTCGGATTTGACATAGGAGACTATAAGCTAAAGAAGAGAGACATTGGCTACATTAACACTGCGATGATTTAAAACAATCAGATGTTTTTCTGAATGACCTGGGTGAGCCCTGGGTAAAGAAAATGCTCCAAAGATTCATCATAATCTGAACTCCCAATACAGGGACTCTTATTGTGTCTCCGTGTGTTGAACTTATTTTGCACCGTACGTAGCCAATCTAGATATAAAAGTGCAAAGTTGTGACATCTTATCGGAAACTGAACTTACATTGCAACACTGTCTTACCATGCGTTGTACTTTTGCCCGTTATGATAATAATTATAATCGGGCGTTGTTCACGCGGTCTAGAACAGTGATTCATAACCTTTACTGCAGCCTGCACCTCTTTGCTTCTCAATCGTAAAACAATGTAAAATGTTAACAAATACATAGGGCTTCGATGAAACAGCAGTTGTGGTAATAGTAATAGGTTTTTACCCTTTTATCTGGCACCAAAACTGACACCTTTATACAAGGGATCATGTTTGCAATAACCACAACACAAGCAGTCAAAATGCAAACAAAAAGATACAACTCTGATAATGATATTGGCACTGTCCTTGAAATTGATTGCTCCACACCCGAGACGGCTTTTCTTAGAGCCCTTAGTCTCCACTGGTGTTGGACCAGATGACGCCAAAAGGCGTACAACTCAAAAACAGCGCACTATCAGAGTTTGGAGCTCGGGGTAAGCATTTACATTATGAGACCTTTGCCAGTAGCAATATATAGTAACAGGTTTTTACCCTTTTATCTGGCACAACTGTCTGGCCACGTCTCGCGACCGCCAGAAAGAGCATCTCACCCCCCCCCCCCCCCCCCCCCCCCCCCCCCCCCCCCCCCCACTGGGCTAGAGGAAAGCTTCCTCCATTGCAAGTGTCTGCCCAACGTGGTGATGGCATTTCCGACAATGAATTCATTGCCTGTGTGACCAGAGCAACCCTAAAATGTATTGGGGTGCCGTTCCACGAAGCATAACATTGTAGGACGTACTGTGGACATCGTTAAACAAGCATCAGTGCGTATGTTTGGGCAACTGAACTCGCTCTTTAAAAAATAAATAACGCAACAAGTAAAAGACTTAGAAATTGAAATTTTATTACAAAAATCTCCCACGGAAGAAGCAAACGTTTGGCACTCATTTCCATCACTCGACGAGTTATGCTCGCCGCGGTTTTGTTCGCTGTGTTCCCGTGGAGATCGCGAGCGAATGACATCAACATTAAGAAACTTTAGCGGAAAACTGGCGCTAAAGGTATGTGTGTGGGTGCGTGAGTGCAGGAGATGAGTTTCCGCCAAAACAATTCCACGAGTGGCCTCGTGTGCTCAGCAGAGCCCAGGGGGAATTCCCCCCCCCCGCCACATTATCATCGTAGCACAAGTAGCTACATATGTAGCTACATTCTGTAATAGATATTACAGAATATAGCGACTACTACATATGCTATTACTACTAGGATAATCCGGCACTGCAGCAGGATTATCCTAGTAGCACAAGTAGCTACTTGTGCTACTAGGATAATACGTAGTAGCTACGTGTGTAGTAGCTACGTGTGTAGTAGCTACGTGTGTAGTAGCTACGTGTGTAGTAGCTACGTGTGTAGTAGCTACGTGTGTAGTAGCTACGTGTGTAGTAGCTACGTGTGTAGTAGCTACGTGTGTAGTAGCTACGTGTGTAGTAGCTACGGGCCCCACACTTTCAAGGGCCCGGCGCTAAACGCTTTCAAGCTATCAATTCTGGTTCAGTGAGTCTGCACTCTCTATTACTATAGTACTATACTGCCTTCAGCTTTTATGAACGACTAGGTGTTTAAGTTTAGCCATTTGCCGTATTAACTGTCTATATATCAAATGAAAAATATAAATTACTTTACTACGCAAGATACAAATGCGTGTGTTTTAATATTTATGTGTTTTTTTTAATTTAGGGCCCTTTTATAACACATGCTACAGGCCTCGCACTAGCTTAATTCGGCACTGCCCCACCACCAAATCACACCGCGTGTTACACATACTCCTTACACTATTTCTGT